GGCTTGGCATTGAAGGCTGTCGTGGGAAAAAAGTACTCAACTATTCAGCCTAGTTAAATAAACGGAGATGGATGGATTTCACTCAGTCGGCACATTTCTTCATATCTTTGCAAAGAGAGAAAAGTTCATCATACAGCCCTAATGGCACAGCATTCTGCTCTGTTCTGCCTGAGCAGCACTCGTTCCTCCTTACTTACAATAATGGAAAGTAGTCAGAGTCAAAACAAATTACACTTTGGTTAAACAGTAACATTTTATGAATAAACCTTGGTAAAGATTCTGGTTTGTTATGGGAAGAAGCTATGTCTGGTCTACAAACACCCTCACCAGAGAATGGTGTGGCCTTGAAGGTAAAACAGACTGAGTGAAAACTTTTATAGAGAGTAAATAGGATAAATTAATACATAATAGAAGAGAAATCTAAACTTTCAGGAATATGCTACAGTGCTAACTATGCTTAGTAGTGTGAAAGCCTTAAACAGGGCAGGATGCTGGACCTTCATTCTGTCAGAGCAGCTGGACAGAGCTAAGCTAGCTCATTAGCAGCAGTCAGCTCTGCTATAAAGGAGTCGGCTGGCAGACCGTCGGCCCTCAGGGACTGCTGCTCCTGTTCACTGCCTGCCTCTGCCAGGCCAGAAACTCAGCAGCTACGATTGAACATCACCGTCTTCAGACACACTGTGATTCCCTCCAGCAGGAAGGTGAAACGTATTTAGAAGCTGCTTCATACCGTTTGGGCTCTGGCTGTCCGTCACCACGCACAAAAGGTTTCTCCTCTGCAAGAGAAACAAAAGGAAAGATGTTAAATCTTATTTAGCTTTTCCATCCAGACATAAAGGAAAGACTGAATCCAGGCCGCAGCAACGTGATGAGCTGAGATATTCTACAGGGAAAGAATGACTGCAGCTCTGCTGGGACTCCAGGAACATTTTAGACTTAGAAAACATTTAGAAAACAACTTAGAAAACATTTCATTTATGCAGCTTTAAGGCAGTTAGCTGTGAAATGAACATTTCCATTCCATAAAGTGCAGCAGTGATCAAATGTAAACAGTGAGGGAGAAAAAACATGGAGCTAAAAAAACAAAGCATTGATCTGGAAGTTCAGAGCATTAATCTGTATGGTGTTAATCTGCAGTATTGTTGGTTTGGTGTTATCAGTGTGATGCAGAGTCTGAGATTTAGAGGTTTCTCAACAGTTCATCAGTCTGATGGCGGCGGGGAAGAAGCTGTTGCAGAACCTGCTGGTCCTGCATTGAATGTTGGGAAGCCTTTTCCAAGAGGGCAGCCATGGTGGGGGGGTGAGGGGTCAGTGATGATGTCACGGGCTCGGGACACGCAGCGCTGGGATGAAACATCTGAGCTGTTGATGAGCAGTGGAGCGTGGTTAGGACGGCTCTTCCTGAAGTCCACCATGATCTCCTTGG